TTTTTGTGCCAGTACCATACTATTTTGATTACTGCAACTTTGTAATATAACTTGAAGTCCAGAATTGTGATGCCTCCAGTTCTGATTTTCTTTCTCAAGATGCTTTGGCTACTGGGGATCTTTTGTGGTTCCATACAAATTTTAGGATTGTTTGTTCTAGTTCTGTGAAAAATACTGTTGGTATTTTGATAGGGATTGCATTAAATGTGTAGATTGCTTTGGGCAGTGCAGACATTTTAACAATGTTTGTTCTTCCAATCCATGAGTGTTGATGTCTTTCCATTTCTTTGTGTCATCTTCAGTTTCTGTAATCAGTGTTTTATAGTTTTCAGAGTACAGGTCTTTCACCTTTTTGGTTAGGTTTATTCCTAGGTATCTTATTATTTTGGGTGCAATTGTAAATGGGATTGTTTTCCTAATTTCTCTTTCTGCTGCTTCATTATTGGTGTATAGAAATGCAGCAGGTTTCTGTACATTGATTTTGTATCCTATGACTTTACTGAATTTGTTTACCAGTTCTAGCAGTTTTTTTAGCAGAAGCTTTAGGGTTTTCTATATATAGTATCATGTCATCTGCAAATAGTGACAGCTTTACTTCTTCCTTACCAATTTCAAAGACTTATATTTCTTTTTGCTGTCTGATTGCTGTGGCTAGGACTTCCAGTACTATGTTGAATAAAAGTCATGAGAGTGGACATCCTGGTCTTGTTCCTGACCTTAGTGAAAAAGCTGTTTTTCCCCATTAAGGATGATGTTAGCTATGGGTTTTTCATAAATGGCCTTTATTATGTTGAAGTATGTTCCCTCTAAACCTACTTTGTTGAGGTTTTTTTTTTTCTTAAGATTTTTATTTATTTATGTGTCAGAGAGAGAGAGAAGGAATACAAGCAGGGGGAACGGCAGGCAGAGGGAGAAACAGGCTCCCTGCTGAGCAAGGAGCCCAATGCAGGACTCGATCCCAGGACCCTGGGATCATCACCTGAGCTGAAGGTAGATGCTTAACTGACTGAGCCACCCAAGTGTCCTGTTGAGGTTTTTTGTTTTTGTTTTTTTTTTTTAATGAATGGATGTTGTACTTTGTCAAATGCTTTTTCTGTATCTATTGAAATGATCATATAGTTTTTATCTTTTCTCTTGTTGATATGATGTATCATCTCGTGTAGATTGATTTGCAAGTATTGAACCACCTTTGCAACCCAGGAATAAATCCCACTTGATCGTGGTGAATGATTTTTTTTTAATGTATTGTTGAATTCAGTTTGCTAGTATTTTATTGGGAACTTTTGCATGTATGTTCATTAGGGATTGGCCTGTACTCTTTCTTTGTGTGTGTGGTGTCTATCTGGTTTTGGTATCAGAGTAATGCTGGCCTCATAGAATGACTTTGGAAGTTTTCCTTCCTTTTCTATTTTTTGGAATAGTTTCAGAAGAATAGGTAGTATCTCTTCTTTAACTGTTTGGTAGAATTCACCTGTGAAGCCATCTGGTCCTGGACTTTTGTTTGTTGGGAGTTTTTGGGTTTTTTTTAAGATTTTATTTATTTGACAGAGAGAGCTATAGCGAGAGAGGGAACACAAGCAGAAGGAGTGGGAGAGGGAGAAGCAGGCTTCCCGCTGAGCAGGGAGCCTGATGCGGGGCTCAATCCCAGGACCCTGAGATCATGACCTGAGCTGAAGGCAGACGCTTAATGACTGAGCCACCCAGGCGCCCCTTGTTGGGAGTTTTTTGATCATGGATTCAATTTCTTTGCTGGTTATCAGTCTGTTCAAATTTTCTATTTCCTCCTATTTCAGTTTTGGTAGTTATCCATTTCTAGGAATTTATCCATTTCTTCTAGGTTGTCCAATTTGTTGATACATAGTTTTTCTTTTCTTTTCTTTTTTTTTTTTTTTTTTTAGATTTCATTTATTTGAGAGAGCACAAGCAGGGGGAGTGGCAGGTAGAGCAGGCAGAGAGAGAAGCAGGCTCCCCTCTGAGCAAGGAGCCAGATGCGGGACTCGATCCCAGGACCCCGGGATCATGACCCAAGCCGAAGGCAGTTGCCTAACTGACTGAGCCACCCAGGCATCCCATAGTTTTTCGTAATATTCTCTTATGGTTGTATTTCTGTGGTGTTGGTTGTCATTTTTCTCTCTCATCTGTGATTTTATTTGCTTGAGTCCTTTCTCTTTTTTTCATGATAAGTCTGGTTAGAGGTTTATGAATTTTTAAAAATTTTTTCCCCAAAGAACTAGCTCCTGGTTTTATTGATCTGTTCTTTTTTTTAGTTTTTACATCATTTATTTCTGCTCTAATCTTTATTATTTCGTTCCTTCTGCTAGTTTTTGGTTTTGTTTGTTGTTCTTTTTCTAGCTCCTTTAGGTGTAAGTTTCAGTTGTTTATTTGAGATTTTTTCTTTCTTGAGGTAGGCCTGTATAGCAATATATCAACTTCCCTCTTATAACCACTTTTGCTGCATCCCAGAGGTTTTGGACTGTGGTGTTTTCATTTTCACTTGTCTCCATGTACTTCTTGATTTCTTCTTTTATTTCCTGGTTGACCCATTCATTGTTTAGTAGTATGCTTTAACTTTATGTATTTGTGGTCTTTTCAGTTTTTTTCCTGTGGCTGATTTCTAGTTTCATAGCATTTTGGTCAGAAAAGACACGTGGTATGACTTCGATCTTCTTGAATTTGTTGCGTTGTTTTGTTTTGTGAGCTAATATGTGATCTATCCTGGAGAATGTTCCATGTGCACTTGAAAAGAATGTGTATTCTTCTGGTTTAGGATGGAATGTTCTGATTATATCTACTAAGTCCTTCTGGTTTAGTGTGTCCTTTAAAGCCACTGTTTCCTTGTTGATGTTCTGTTTGAATGATCTTTCCATCAATGTAAGGGGGGTGTTAAAGTCCCCTACTATGATTATATTATCTATTCATTCTTTCATGTTTGTTATTAACTGTTCTATGTATCTGGATGCTTCTGTATTGGGTGCATTAATATATATAATTGTTATATGCTCTTTTGGATTGTTCCCATTATTATTACATAGTGTCCTTTTTGTCTCTTGTTACAGCTGTGTTTCAAAGTCTGTTTTGTCCCTTGTAACTATTGCTACTCTGGCTTTCTTTTGCCCATTGTCCACTATTTTAAAACTCTTTTTTTATATGTTTTTTCCACATTTTTTTTTAAGTTGTCTAAAGTACTAGGGCAAGTCCCATATCAGTTACTCTTTCATAGGCGGAAGCAGAAGTCCATCCTGCCTTTGGTTTTTTTGTTTTGTGTTGTATATTTCTTTTTTCTTTTTTGCTTTTGGTTAGTTCTGTGTTTTAATACTGTGTTTCTGACACGACTTTCACTTTTCCCCTTACAATACAAACTTCATTCACCCTGTTTTACACTCACACTTAAAAAAGAAGTTAGAAGTGCAGAAACTAGTTTTAGTCATTTGGACATAAGCACAGTGGTGACTGAAAATATAGACTTTCAAAAAGACTTTCCCCCAAAGTGCATACCTTTGAAAGAGAAAAAAACTGTAGCTGGATACAGTAGCTCTTTGTATAACTTAGCCAGCTTACAAAGCTATTTTCATTTATAGAGTTGTATTGTCTGTACTGTTACCAGTTATTTCTAAGCACAAAATGTTTTAGCAATCTATATTAGCAAGCAGAGTAAACATGCTTTGAAAGGCTCCAAATGCAAATGTAAGCTAATACTCCAAACGTTTCTATTCTGCACAAGGGCACATGGCCTCTAGAGTTCCATTCCCTAGCTTGCTCTCCTTTCCCTGGGCTTCTACTGTGGAAGACTTTTTCAGATAGGGTTGAGGGGCTCCATTTGTCATTCTGTCTTTCGTATGGGATTCTGCCTAAGGTAATTTGGCATCTCCTGTCCCATTTCTGTTGATATTTCCTACTTACAGTTGAAAGGCAGTACAGATTTTGGAGTCAGACAGACTTGGGTAATTCAAATATACTGGACTTCATCAAAAACAAGGACCTGCCACTGTTGTAACTTTCATCCTCTAGATTTTATTTAAAATAACTTTTGGCTCAAATACTACAGATTTGTAAAGAGCATTTTGCCTTTGTAATATTCTCTACGCTTATTACTATAGCTTAAAATGCCAGTGAAATAAACATGCAGTGATTTTAATGCCCCGGCAATTAGTGCCATGTAAGGTTAGAGTATCCAATGTCAAAAGAAAGACTAAATCGGTAGGCTCAAGATTCCTTCCTATAGGTTTCTTTTATCATTTTTCCTGAGGTGACATTCACTAACATCAAATCAATTATTTAAAAGTGTACAATTCAGTGGCATTTAGTTATTCACAGTGTTGTGCGACTACCATCTCTGTCTAATTCCAAAATAGTCTCATCATTCCAAAAGAAAATCCTGTACCCATTAAGCAGTCAGTACCCATTCCCTTCTCCCCCAGCCCCTGGCAACCACCAGTTTGTTTTCTGTCTCTATAGATTTACCTACTCTAGATATTTCATGTAAGTGGAATCATATAATGTGTAGCCTTTTATATCTGGCTTCTTTCCTTTAACATTATTTTTGAGGTTCATCAATGTGTAGCATATAGCAGTACTTCATTGTTTTTATGGTAGAATAATATTTCATGGTTTGGATACACCATATTTTGTTTATCCATTCATCCATTGATGTACATTTGGGTTGTTTCTGCCTTTTTTGACCATTGTGAATAGTGCTGCTATGAATATTTGTGTATGTGTATTTGAGTACCCATTTCCAATTCTTTGGGTTATATACTGAGGAGTGGGATTTCTGGGTCATATGATAATTCTGTGTTTGACTTTTGGGGGATGCTTTTGGCTTTTTTTCTCCAAGGGGAAAGACACAATCAAAGAAATGGGAGTTGAGAATTCATGTGAGCCATGCAGCCAACCCAATTTTTGTCTATCCTACTCAGCCAACCCTTTACCTTTCACCTCTTCTCCCAGCAAAGAAAGATGAGTGTTGTGGGTCCCTTACACCTCTGGCCTCTGTCCCCTAGGGCTGTGTTTGGCTGTCCCTGGGAAAACTGTGAGGTGGTGCGCCATCTCAGATCATGAGGCCAGTAAGTGCTCCAGTTTCAGTGACAATATGAAAAGAGTCCTTCCAGCGGATGGTCCTCACGTCACCTGTGTGAAGAGAACCTCTCAACTCGAATGTATCAAGGCCATTATGGTAAGTTGCAGCTGCCTACAGGAAAGTGGAAGAAAATCTATACTTCCTTTTTCTGGGGCTTGTTATTGTTTATTGCTTCAGAACAACTTTCTTCCCACAGGAACTAGACAATGCTTTAGACGAGAAAGAAATAAGCTGAAGACCTGAAAGTACAGCGACTGTGTGTAGAGAAAAATATAGGTGCTCAACATTCATTAATAGTAAAAACAGTAATAGTAATTAAATGACTAATAAAGAAGGATTCAGTAAAAATGCCTGCCATAAAGCAAAGCCAGAATTGCACTGGAAATCCATAGAGTCAGAAATAAACAAGAAGCTATAGTGTTACCGTTATTACTTAACATTGTTTTTGGAATTTCCCAGTAATGCAATACGATACAAATGCATATGATATAGAAAGACACAAATAAAATATCAATATTTTCAGATGATTGCATGCCTGGAATGTACAATGGGGTCAAGAAAAATATTACTATAATTATTTATTAATGAATAAATTAGTTTGACAAAAGATAAACATATCACAATGTCATTGTTGTGTATCAATGGTCATTAGTTGGGGGAAAGTTGCCCAAAATTGTGACTTATTTTCATTTAAAACAATATACTGTAATTCTATTATATTATAATATATTCTATAATATAGTAGAAAAACATTTCAGGAAAAAAATCATAGGAGAGATCTGCAAGATTGTTATAATACAAAAGTCTAGAACAAATGAACAATATTTATTAATGAATTAAAACATATGCCATATTCCTAAATGGGAAGACTAAATTATCATATACTTGCATATTTTCCCAAAGAGTAAGTTTAATATAATTTTCATCAAAATACAGTCTTTTTAAAAAGAATCAATTGAATAATTATAAAATCCTAAGAAAAAGCACATGGATGAGAATATAAATAGTATTATGAAAAAGAAAATTAGCAAGGGAGTGGCTGAGGCCTACCTGAAACTATAAAATATAAAAATAGCAGTGTTACAGAGACCAGGGTCCTAGTGTAGATGTAAGAGACCTGGAAGAGAACAAAATTCACACATTTAGTTACATACATTCATCCATCTACTTGTCTATGTGATATGATACAGATGTCAACTATGATCGATATCCAACATCAGGGCACTAGGGCCCTAGGTTTAATAAATTTAGGTAAGATACATGTAGATTTACATAGATATGTATGATAAGGCAAACTTTCTAAACAAATGGCTGAGAAAAGATTCTTTAGTTGGACAACTGGGTAACTATTTAGCAAAAAAAAACAAGTGAAATGTTTAATCCATATACCAAAACAAGCTTTCAGTTTGACTCAATTTGACTAATATAGATAGACATCACAAGATAAATTGCAGAGGAAGATAAATTTGGAAATGAAAAATTATAAATCTCTGACAAAAAATTTTTTAAAGCCTTAAGCATCTAAAAATATATTCACCTCAGCTATGACAAAACACCATAGTGCAAAAACTAGATAAAGATGGCATTTAAATTTATAAGAAATGCTTAAGAATATCAAGCTATACACAAACCATTCACAGAAAAGAAATTGTAACTAATAAATAATATAAACCGTAAAGGAAAAGTGTTCATCCTTTTTAATAATCAAATGCAAATAAATGCAAATAAAGCCATTTCTTAAAGTAACAGTTTATACCTAGAAATGTAATAACATCTCTTAAATGATAGCATTTCTTTCTAGTAAATTTCTGTGACATTAGGATACATTGCTATTGGCATTATAAATGATAAATTATGTCATTTCTGGAAAACAATTTGGAAATATTCAGTAAGAGTCATAAATATGCACACAAACTTATTTATTTATTTTTCTCTAATTCATGGAGAATGATTTGTTACAAGAATTTGACCTTACACAATCATGGGAGCAGGTTAAACTTCTCTATAACAGTACTGTCTTTGCATCTGCTCTTGGAGCTTGAGGAGGAGGCTGCCAGGAAGGGAAGATGTATGTAAAGTGGGGGAAGAGCAAGAACAATCTAGAACCTCAGTCTTGGAGCCCATGGGTGTGAACTGAAACCCATGTCTGTAATTGCTTCTGACCTTGATGGTGTTCACTAGGCCCAGTGGCCTTCTTGTCCTTTTACCTTTATACTAACTCCTTCCTTTTCTCAAATTAATTTAAGTTGGGTTCTGATACACGCAACCAACAGAGTATTAATTATATATAATACATACATATGTAAATACATAAGTGTGAATACATGTGTAATAAAAAGATGGGATGGGGAAAAAGGAGGCAAGTATATAGAAATGCAACACTAAATTCAGAAAAAGCCTAATTACTTTAAACGTCAATTAATAAATGAATTTAAAAAATGATTTCCATGATGGGTTGAGAAATGATCCAATCTCATTTCTGAGAAGAGGCTGGGAGGTTGCTGCTTCTCACAAGAAGGAAGGAATGCTGGGCTGACTGACATACTTGAAGAGGGAATCCAGATGTGTGAGTGCAAACCATGACTTCTTATGGATAGAAATATTTGACAATTCACTCATTCACTTATCCAGCAAATGTTTATTGAACACTTACCTGTAGAAGGTGCTTCTCTGGGTACAGTAGGAACCTTAGAAGGAAACACACACACACACACACACACACATGTGTCCCCACCTTGGTGGAGCTTACATTCCAAAGAGGAAGGCAGGCTGTAAACAATGAAAGTTTGTCAGGTGGTTGATAAGCGCTAAGGAAAAAACAAAGGGAGATCCAGCATTCATGCATGAAGTTTTAAGATACGGTTGTAGAGAGCCTCGATGAGAAGGTGACCTTTGAGCAAACACTGGGGAGGGAAGGAGGTCTGACCCATGCAAGTATCTATGGGTCAAACATCCCTGGCAGAGGGCTAGGTTAGGGGCTCCGTTCATGGTCTGGTCTCTTCTCTCTCAGGCAAACGAAGCAGATGCCGTGACCCTCGAAGCAGGTTTTGTGCTTGAAGCGAGCCTGCCCCCCTTCAACCTGAAGCCTGTCGTGGCAGAATTCCATGGGTCAAAAATTGGTGCGTTCTCCCTGGGGCCCCAGGTCTCTGATTTGACACTGAGCCATCAGGGAGAAGTCAGGGTCTCTGTCAACACTGCACCTGAAGGAAACAGAATTGCTGGAGCTCTTTGGATCGAAGGAGGCTGTCATCTACACTGCCCCACAAGGGCTGGAATGTTGACTCTCCCTGGGAAGCTGTGAACTGTGTGCATCTAGGTGGAAGTACCCTTGGTGCTGCTAGATAAGAGGGGGGCAGGGCTGTCTGGGGTCCATTGCCTACCCAGTGGGGCTGCACCATTGGAAGGCCCATCTCTGGAGACACACAGACCTGGACAGGCTCTTCCCTGTGCTGAGTCCCCTGCAGGTGCTACAGAACATGGGTCTGTGAATGCCATGAAGAGAGGTTTGCAGGGGGCGGGGGGGGGGGGGCGGTGAAGAATAAGGCTTTGCCTCCGCCCCATACTTGTCCGTTAGTGTCATCAGTGTGTGTATGAGCACAGCCCACCTCAATCAGACTCCAACTTGCAGAGCCCTGGCAAAATCCTGGGGTCTCCCCTGCATCTGTCCTCTCAGGCCTTCACCATTGTGTCTGGGCTGCAGACGGAGAAGCAGAGAAGGGAGAAAAGCCTTTGGAGAGACAGAGTAACATCACAATGACTGGGAGCTGAAGATCTCCCTGAGAAAGCCCTGTAGGCCCTGTAATAGCTGGTGGCCCCCACCCCCATGTCTCTACTGGCTTGGAGGGGCTGGCAGAAAGACACTAGTGTTTATTGCCTTGAAAAGCACCCCCCCCCCCCCCCCGGTTAATCAAAGGCTTTTTTCTTTTCCTTTTCTACCTGTTCACCAGGGAATGGTGGAGATCCTAGGATTCCCTAAAGTTGGCCGTTGCGCACACTCTGCAAGATGAGCTAGTGACAATGTGGTATCTTCCTTTAGCCCTTCTTTCTCTCCGCTCCTTTGCAGATCCACACACCTCCCATTATGCTGTGGCCGTGGTGGAGAAGGGCAGCGACTTCCAGCTGAAACAGCTCCAAGGCAAGAGGTCCTGCCACACGGGCCTAGGATGGTCGGCTGGGTGGTACATCCCCATCCAGACACTTTTTCCTTCTGACTCTGTTAAAGAAGGTGAGCTGGCTAAGGCTGGGTGCCCTCAGGCAGGGCTCCTGCTCCAGTCGCCCGCAGGGATTGTAGTGGGGCCATACAGTCACTATCAGGCGTATCAGTTTCATGAGCTGCAAGATGGGGTGAGGACAACCTGCTTCACGTGTGGTTAGCTGGGTTTGCTGCAGCAGCAACACCTGGGAACTGGCAGCTGAGTCTTCCCTCAGCAAAGGTACCTTGGTCTCTGAGCTCCCGACAGCCCCACACTCATTGTAACCCCGGTGGTTTGGCTTGACAGGGAAGTCGCTTAGGCTCACGACACACAGGAACTCCCTCTGGCTTCCCAGGAAGGCTCACGAGGGATTATAGCCATACCACCAGCAGTCAGGCCTTTGTGCCTGGGGTAAGGGCTTGGGATGGGGGCAAGAAGGGAAGAGTGGCCTGGAGCCATGATTTGTGTGTGTGTGTACTTCTTGTCCAGTTATGATGAGCCAAGCGAGCCTAGGGAGCCCCTTTAGCCCTTGGGAGATGATGGCCAAATCTTTCTGTGCTGTTGAGGCCTGCCGACTCTGCAGCATTCATGTTTGGCCTGTAATAGGGACAGGGGGCTGCTGGGGTCAGATGGAGTGCTAGAGCCTGGGCCACAGCTCTGACTCTGTGTGCCCTTTCTTGGGGCCTCCCTCGCCTCAATGTCAGACACTGCTGGATGTCTGTGTGAAAGCTTGTGAGGTGGCTGTTGGCACACCCCCTTCCCCACCACCGGGCAAGTTATCCCAACACCCTCCCATGGATTCCTGGAAGAGAAATCCCCACAAACTACCACAGCCCCTGGACCCAAAGGGGGGAGGAGTGGATGGGACCATGTCCTGAGGTAAGGAAAGATGGTCGGAGTTCCCGCAGCGTCTGGGGTTCTGCCTGCCGCACTTAGAGCCTCTGTGGTGAGTTAACAAGGTGAGTGGTCCTGGGGTTGCAGCTTGGTTCCGTGTAGGTCAGCCGCCCTCGTGTCTCGAGTGGACAAGCTAGGAAGCATCTGGTGGGCTGGAGCCCCAGGCCCACACAGTAGTGTGATACCTGAACACATGGGGACCCCGGGCCGTCCACTTCCTCAGCCACGGGCACTGTCGGCCACCTCTGCTCATCTGCTTCCTCAGGATGGTCCTGGGAAGTGTGTGCAGGCTCACGGGCTCTCACATAGGGCCACTCACCCCCACACATGTGCAAGCTGGAGGCCCCCAGCCGGTTCATGCCCTGAGGTCCTTATGTCTGTGTTAAGCAGCCACAGCAGAAATGGCCCAGTTCTTCTCCGGCAGCTGTGTACCCTGTGCCAACAGGGAGGTGTTCCCCAAGCTGTGTCAACTGTGTGCAGGGAAAGGGACAAACAAGTGTGCCTGCTCCTTCCAGGAACCATACTTCGGCTACACAGGCGCCTTCAAGTGAGTGGGGACACCCCCCTAATCCCCCACTCCTCCTCACTTTGATGGCAGGGAAACTAAGGTACAGGGAGTGGACAGGGCCTGCCCAGACCACCTAGGGTGTCAGTGTGAAACCCAGGGTCCTGAGTGCCTCCCGTGGCCTGCCCTCACTCCTAACCATCCTGAGGAACAGTCTTCTGTGCGGGAGCTCCTCTTCTCTCCCTACAGCCTAGGGTCTGTATGTTACCCTCCCGGACCAAGGAGGGCTGAAGGGACAACACTGTATCTGGGACTCTGGGATTCACAGACACAGGCTTGGGCTTCCAGCTGGGCCAAAGGCCAGGACCTCCCCAGCTTGCTTCTTTCTCCCTGAGCATCTCCCTGTGTCGTGAACATGTGCCTGCCTCTCTCCACCTCCCTCTCAGCCCCCTGCAGGCACCTCTCCATGTCTGTAAGAGACAAGGCTACTGCTCAAAGCCAGAACAAAACTGTCCAGGAATCCAAGGCTATCCTAAGTTTTTATCCTCTGTATTAGGCTTTATTAAAACAAACAAACAAACAAACCCAAAACCCAGTCACTTTGGTTTGCCTTTGAAGGGGAAGGTGAGGGTCCTGCCCTCACATCATCCCTCCCTACAGTTACCTGGGTTGTGATTTACAGAGCTCCTGCCTGCTTCAGACCCAGGTTGGCTGTGGGAGTACAAAGGCCCCTCAGATAGGGCCATGGCCTCTGAGGACACACTGAAGCCTGGGCAACTGTGGGCAAATCCCTGTGAGCCAGTGGTCAGGGCAGAGCCTCAGAGGGGTTGCATGGGGCAGGGGTGAGCTCAAATCATGGGGATTGGCCTGACGCCTGCTGTCCTGTTCCTCAGGTGTCTGCAGGATGGTGTAGGGGATGTGGCCTTCGTGAGGCATATGACAGTGTTTGGTAAGTGCTGGATGGAGGAAGAATCACGTGAACCATATTGGCCAGGGCAACTGGTTCCTGCCTGACGGTTTCCTTACATCTAGAGATGGGTGATGACAAGACCGTTAATGAAATGGGAGAGTTTCTGAACTACTAGTCTCCTCAAATAACATACTACATCCACTAATGGCAAGATTTAAAAAAAAAAAAAGGAGACCTTCTGTACAAAAACCATTTCTGTTATTCGTACTTTGTTTAGTGTTCAATTTGTTCAGTCTGTAAATCTACTAAACAAATTTTCTGAACATTTAAAGAGTATTTACCAATTAATAAAATGAGGCAAATTTTAATAATTCAATTCTCTTAGCCACTGCAATATCCATTTTAAATGTAATCACACTCTCCTGAATGCTTCATTGTAAATGGTTCCTAAATCCTATAAATACCTTAAACAAACAAATTATAATGATTTCAGAACTTATTAGCACATCTTCAATTAGATGTGTTGCAAAAGCATTATTACTGTGGACAAAAATATATATATATATATATTTTTAAAAACCTTTCAAGAGTTTTGGCCAATTTATCAGAAAGAAAGAAAAAAACAACATAAATCTCAGACAAGTTGAAGTTACAGAATTTGTGTTTTGTTTTGTAGCCAATTAAATTTCTATCAGATACAGAATACACTTGTATCAGGTATATTCAGTATGCTAGGTTCATTTTTGAGATAAATGTCTGCTACCTCAAGGGAAATTTAAAGTCATCACTTTTTTTTTTTTTTTATGGGCCTTAGTTCCTTACAACCTAGTGTCTTTTTCTAGCATGAAATAGGAGCTCGGTGTCCTTTGTTCCCTTGTTCAGCCATTCACAATTCACTGTTCCTTCATTATTACACACTGACCTGGTTTGTTAGCATTTTGGCAATCGAGGACTGTCTTATTATCAGTACATTTAATTAGTGGGGTCATCTAGGGGTTTTGTCTCCCAGAATCAAGTTGTTCCAGATCCTTGTCCTTGCTGTTTCTTCTGGTCGCTCCAGTGAGTGCAGTTATGTTGCCAGTGGGCAGCATCTTCTAACACTCACCCTGATGTGTTTGAAAACATCTTCACTTTCTGAAAACACCAGGTTGTCCCAGAACGTCCTGGTTTATTTTTGCTGAAAGTCACTTGTCCGCTAATATATAAGATCACTCACTGCCTTTTTTTTTTTCTTTTTTTTTTTAATTTTTTTATTCTTATGTTAATCCCCTTACATTACAACATTAGTTTTAGATGAAGTGTTCCATGATTCATTGTTTGTGCACAACACCCAGTGCTCCATGCAGAACGTGCCCTCCCAAATACCCACCACCAGGCTAACCCATCCTCCCACCCCCCTCCCCTCTAGAACCCTGTTTGTTTTTCAGAGTCCATCGTCTCTCATGGTTCGTCTACCTCTCCGATTTCCCCCGCTTCATTCTTCCCCTCCCGCTACCTTCTTCTTCTTCTTCTTTTTTTTTTTCTTAACATATATTGCATTATTTATTTCAGAGGTACAGATCTGAGATTCAATAGTCTTGCACAATTCACAGCGCTTACCAGAGCACATACACTCCCCAGTGTCTATCACCCAGTCCCCCCATCCCTCCCACCCCACGCCCCACTCCAACAACACTCAGTTTGTTTCCTGCGATTAAGAATTCCTCATCTCAGTGAGATCATATGATACATGTCTTTCTCTGTTTGACTTATTTCACTCAACATAATACCCTCCAGTTCCATCCACGTCGTTGCAAATGGCAAGATCTCATTCCTTTTGATGGCTGCATAATATTCCATTGTATATATATATACCACATCTTCTTTATCCATTCATCTGTCGATGGACATCTTGGCTCTTTCCACAGTTTGGCTATTGTGGACATTGCTGCTATAAACATCGGGGTGCACGTACCCCTTCGGATCCCTACTTTTGTATCTTTGGGGTAAATACCCAGTAGTGCAATTGCTGGATCATATGGTAGCTCTATTTTCAACTTTTTGAGGAACCTCCATACAGTTTTCCAGAGTGGCTGCACCAGTTTGCATTCCCACCAACAGTGTAGGAGGGTTCCCCTTTCTCCGCATCCCCGCCAACATCTGTCGTTTCCTGACTTGTTAATTTTAGCCATTCTGACTGGTGTGAGGTGATATCTCATTGAGGTTTTGATTTGGATTTCCCTGATGCCGAGCGATATTGAGCACTTTTTCATGTGTCTGTTGGCCATTTGGATGTCTTCTTTGGAAAAATGTCTGTTCATGTCTTCTGCCCATTTCTTGATTGGATTCTTTGTTCTTTGGGTGTTGAGTTTGGTGAGTTCTTTATAGATTTTGGATACTAGCCCTTTATCTGATATGTCATTTGCAAATATCTTCTCCCATTCTGTCGGTTGTCTTTTGGTTTTGTTAACTGTTTCCTTTGCTTTGCAAAAGCTTTTTATCTTGATGAAGTCCCAATAGTTCATTTTTGCCCTTGCTTCCCTTGCCTTTGGCGATGTTTCTAGGAAGAAGTTGCTTCGGCTGAGGTCAAAGAGGTTGCTGCCTGTGTTCTCCTTAAGGATTTTGATGGACTCCTGTCTCACATTGAGGTCTTTCAACCATTTGGAGTCTATTTTTGTGTGTGGTGTAAGGAAGTGGTCCAGTTTCATTCTTCTGCATGTGTCAATCCAATTTTCCCAACACCATTTGTTGAAGAGACTGTCTTTGTTCCATTGGACATTCTTTCCTGCTTTGTCGAAGATTAGTTGACCATAGAGTTGAGGGTCCATTTCTGGGCTCTCTATTCTGTTCCATTGATCTATGTGTCTGTTTTTGTGCCAGTACCATGCTGTCTTGATGATGACAGCTTTGTAATAGAGCTTGAAGTCCGGAATTGTGATGCCACCGGCTTTGCTTTTCTTTTTCAATATTCCTCTGGCTATGCAGGGTCTTTTCTGGTTCCATACAAATTTTAGGATTATTTGTTCCATTTCTTTGAAAAAAGTGGATGGTATTTTGATGGGGATTGCATTGAATGTGTAGATTGCTCTAGGTAGCATTGACATCTTCACAATATTTGTTCTTCCAATCCATGAGCATGGAACGTTTTTCCATTTCTTTGTGTCTTCCTCAATTTCTTTCATGAGTATTTTATAGTTTTCTGAGTACAGATCCTTTGTCTCTTTGGTTAGATTTATTCCTAGGTATCTTATGGTTTTGGGTGCAATTGTAAATGGGATCGACTCCTTAATTTCTCTTTCTTCTGTCTTGTTGTTGGTGTATAGGAATGCCACTGACTTCTGTGCATTGATTTTATATCCTGCCACTTTACTGAATTCCTGTATGAGTTCTAGCAGTTTTGGGGTGGAGTCTTTTGGGTTTTCCACATAAAGTATCATATCATCTGCAAAGAGTGAGAGTTTGACTTCTTCTTTGCCAATTTGGATGCCTTTGATTTCTTTTTGTTGTCTGATTGCTGTGGCTAGGACTTCCAATACTATGTTGAATAGCAGTGGTGATAGTGGACATCCCTGCCGCGTTCCTGACCTTAGGGGGAAAGCTCTCAGTTTTTCCCCATTGAGAATAATATTTGCTGTAGGTTTTTCATAGATGGCTTTTATGATATTGAGGTATGTACCCTCTATCCCTATACTCTGAAGAGTTTTGATCAAGAAAGGATGCTGTACTTTGTCAAAAGCTTTTTCTCCATCTATTGAGAGGATCATATGATTCTTGTTCTTTCCTTTGGTAATGTACTGTATCACATTGATTGATTTGCGGATGTTGAACCAACCTTGCAGCCCAGGGATAAATCCCACTTGGTCATGGTGAATAATCCTTTTAATGTACTGTTGGATCCTATTAGCTAGTATTTTGGTGAGAATTTTTGCATCCATGTTCATCAGGGATATTGGTCTGTAATTCTCCTTTTTGATGGGGTCTTTGTCTGGTTTGGGGATCAAGGTAATGCTGGCCTCATAAAATGAGTTTGGAAGTTTTCCTTCCGTTTCTATTTTTTGGAACAGTTTCAGAAGAATAGGTATTAATTCTTCTTGAAATGTTTGGTAGAATTCCCCTGGGAAGCCATCTGGCCCTGGGCTTTTGTTTGTTGGGAGATTTTTGATGACTGCTTCCATTTCCTTAGTGGTTATAGGTCTGTTCAGGTTTTCTATTTCATCCTGGTTCAGTTTTGGTAGTTGATACATCTCTAGGAATGCATCCATCTCTTCCAGGTTATCTAATTTGCTGGCATAGAGTTGCTCATAATATGTTCTTATAATTGTTTGTATTTCTTTGGTGTTGGTTGTGATCTCTCCTCTTTCATTCATGATTTTGTTGATTTGGGTCATTTCTCTTCTCTTTTTGATAAGTCTGGCCAGGGGTTTATCAATCTTGTTAATTCTTTCAAAGAACCAGCTCCTAGTTTCGTTGATCTGTTCTACTGTTCTTTTAGTTTCTATTTCATTGATTTCTGCTCTGATCTTTATGATTTCTCTTCTGCTGGGTTTAGGCTTTATTTGCTGTTCTTTCTCCAGCTCCTTTAGGTGTAGGGTTAGGTTGTGTACTTGAGACCTTTCTTGTTTCTTGAGAAAGGCTTGTATTGCTATATACTTTCCTCTTAGGACTGCCTTTGCTGCATCCCAAAGATTTTGAACAGTTGTGTTTTCATTTTCATTGGTTTCCATGTATTTTTTTAATTCTTCTTTAATTTCCTGGTTGACCCATTCATTCTTCAGTAGGATGCTCTTTAGCCTCCATGTATTTGAGTTCTTTCCGACTTTCCTCTTGGGATTGAGTTCTAGTTTCAAAGCATTGTGGTCTGAAAATAGGCAGGGAATGATCCCAATCTTTTGGTACCGGTTGAGACCTGATTTATGACCTAGGATGTGATCGATTCTGGAGAATGTTCCATGGGCACTAGAGAAGAATGTGTATTCTGTTGCTTTGGGGTGGAATGTTCTGAATATGTCTGTGAAGTCCATTTGGTCCAGTGTGTCATTTAAAGTCTTTATTTCCTTGTTGATCTTTTGCTTAGACGATCTGTCCATTTCAGTGAGGGGGATGTTAAAGTCCCCCACTATTATTGTATTGTTGTCGATGTGTTTCTTTGCTTTTGTTATTAATTGCCTTATATAATTGGCTGCTCCCATGTTAGGGGCATAGATATTTACAATTGTGAGATCTTCTTGTTGGATAGATCCTTTAAGTAGGATATAGTGTCCTTCCTCATCTCTTATTACAGTCTTTGGTTTAAAATCTAATTTGTCTGATATAAGGATTGCCACCCCAGCTTTCTTTTGGTGTCCATTAGCATGGTAAATGGTTTTCCACCCACTCACTTTCAATCTGGGGGTGTCTTTGGGTCTAAAATGAGTCTCTTGCAGACAGCATATCGATGGATCTTGTTTTTTAATCCAGTCTGTTAGCCTGTGTCTTTTGATTGGGGCATTTAGCCCATTTACATTCAAGGTAACTATTGAAAGATAGGAATTTAGTGCCATTGTATTGCCTGTAAGGTGACTGTTACCGTATATTGTCTGTGTTCCTTTCTGGTCTATGTTGCTTTTAGGGTCTCTCTTTGCTTAGAGGACCCCTTTCAAGATTTCCTGTAGGGCTGGTTTTGTGTTTGCAAATTCCTTTAGTTTTTGTTTGTCCTGGAAGCTTTTTATCTCTCCTTCAATTTTCAATGACAGCCTAGCTGGATAGAGTATTCTTGGCTGCATATTTTTCTCATTTAGTGCTCTGAATATATCCTGCCAGTCCTTTCTGGCCTGCCAGGTCTCTGTGGATAGGTCTGTTGCCAATCTAATGTTTCTACCATTGTAGGTTACATATCTCTTCTCCCGAGCTGCTTTCAGGATTTTCTCTTTGTCTATGAGACTCGTAAGTTTTACTATTAGATGTCGGGGAGTTGACCTATTTTTATTGATTTTGAGAGGGGTTCTCTGTGCTTCCTGGATTTTCATGCCTGTTTCTTTCCCCAAATTAGGGAAGTTCTCTGCTATAATTTGCTCCATTATACCTTCTGCCCCTCTCTCTCTTTCTTCTTCTTCTGGGATCCCAATTATTCTAATGTTGTTTCGTCTTATGGTATCACTTATCTCTCGAATTCTGCCCTCATGATCCAGTAGTTGTTTATCTCTCTTTTTCTCAGCTTCTTTATTTTCCAGCATTTCATCTTCTATATTACTGATTCTCTCTTCTCACTGCCTTTTAAGTAGCAGCTTATGACTACCCACCAGGCTTTTGGGGTGCAAACGAGTGTTGGTGGGGAGCTACTTCCACCACTGGACCCCTGAGTGACTGATGTCGAAAAGTTCTTTCTTTCTGAAGCTAGGAAATCATATGGATTCTTTTAATTTAAATCTGACATTACTAAATCATTTAAATTTTTTCTTTCAATATAAAGATTTAAAGAGTATTTTCTCTACAACATACATAACTAAACTTGTAACCATTCACAAGGACTCTAATTGTACTCCTTCTCTTTCAGTATGAGAATATATGAACCCCACAAACCTCTATGAGTTTGCTAGGGCTGCGATAACAAAGTACCACAAACTGGGTGCCTGAAGCAACAGCAATTTGTCTCACAGTTCAAGAGGCTAGAACTTCAAGATCAAGGTGTCGGTAGGGTTGGTTCCTTCTGGAGGTTCCTTGCTTCTCCCCTGGTTTCTGGTGGTTTGCCGGCCATCTTTAGTATCTGTTGGCTTGTAGTCACATCACCTCACTCTACCTCTTTCCCTTCACATGGCATTCTCCCTGTGTATGTGTGTGTCCTTTGTATCAGGACACCAGTCATACTGGATTAGGGGCCCACACTACTCTAGTATGACCTCATCTTAGTTAATGACATCTGCAATGACTCTTTTCCAAGTAAGGCAACATTCTGAGGTACTGGGGATTCAGATTTCAACATGGGAATTTTGGGGGGATGCAATTCAACCCAGAATACCTTTGAATACCTAGACCAGGGGAACCAAAGAGCCTGTTTTCCTCACAAGGTTTTCTGGTCTTTGTACCTATAGAGTATGCTGACTGGGCCTCTAGGCCTCCTTCAACTCTTCCCCCAGCTTTCCCCAGCAAGCTCTGCCTCCAGGCGGGTAGTGCCACTGTAATAGGGGGACCCGGGCTGTCCTAACATGGCGATGCATCAGCCTCACACTGGCTGACAAGTCACTTTCTGTCTCTAAGTCTCCCCATCTCTAGAATGGGATCAACCTATTACTGGCCTCCCCTGGTTGCTATGAGGATTAAATGAAACAGAGCATGGAGAGCCTTCGGGACAATCTTTGCTGTGCTGTGAATGCTCAGAAAATATCATCATCCATATCAGCAGAGTTACAGATATGTGGGGATACCTGGAAGGGACCTAGGCAAGCGTGCCTCCCCAGCCTCGTGTCTATCTGCAGTAGGAACCAGTCATTTTGCCTCCTAAGGCCTCAGGTTCCTCATAGGTATAAAATGTATTTGGAAAAGATTCTCTTTCAGTCTCTTTGGGTTGTTAAAAAAATTATTAAAGGAGACAAATTAGGTGATACAAACAAACTTGAACATTTCACGAAGTGGACAGTCTCGTTTTGGAGAACTGCAAAATGGGGCAGAAGGCAGGGAGCTTCTATAGGACAAAGAAGAGGAAGAGACAAACACAAAGTATCTGATTGGCTGGGGCCACACAGTCAACCTTGTCTGGGGTGAGAGGCCCAGAGTTGGCTTTGTGTTTGGGGACTGGCTGACTGAATATACTTTGCTTCTGGTCAAGTGGAGCATTTATAAGAACACAAAAGTCATCTAGATTTTGGCTTGCTTAAGTGGCACCTGGGCAGGAGCAGGGCCTAGAAAGTTATTACAACAAGGTCAAAGAGTCTGTGATTCAGGGAGCAGCAGGGACCACAGCTCATGGTTCTGCCTGCAGTCGGCTCATCTGGGCTTTCCTCCTGCAGAGAACCTGGCAAACAGGACTGACCGTGACCGGTATGAGTTGCTCTGCCCGGACAACAGCCGGATGCCTGTGGATAAATACAGGGAGTGCAACCTGGGCCTTTTCCCTTCTCATGCCGTCGTGGCTCGAAACGTGGGGGGCAAAGATGACTTGATCTGGGAGGTTCTCAACCAGGCCCAGGTATTCCCACTCTCCATCCTCACTTCCTGCTTTGTGTGTGTATGGAGGGGTGCCTGCTTAGATTTGGGGCATTTTCTTACATTCCCTTCTAGCCACTCTGAAAGTTCTTTTGGGTATCAGACAGGAACCATGTCATACATCATCTGCTTCACCGAGAAACCACTCAGTCTGTGTGTTATAGACAGCAGAGGCCATGAACCCCTCACTTGGCGTCATCGACTCCATGGACCAAAGACGCCATAGAAGTGCCTCATTGCTCCATTTTTTTTTCTTTTCAGTTCTAAAGGGGTCCTCAGGATGTGGAGTAGATGCCCCTTCTCCATGGAGTGTTCCCCTATTATCTTACTGGCATGTGATCCTGCCCTCCTCACTTCCCTCAGTGGCAGGTTCCCTGGCCATGAGCATGTCTCTGTCTGGTGTTGGTGGCGGCCTCTCCTGGCCAGCTGTCATTCATTCCCTGTCCCTTCTCTATTAGTGCTCTCTGCTCAGCACTGGGGATTCAGAGATGAAGTGGACGGGGACTTGCCCTTGAGTTGCTTCCAGACGTGTGGGGGACATGATGAGTACACATACAAATTATCACCAGATGAAATGGTCCAACCTTGGGCACATGGATTGCGTACTTTGTAGAGGACAGGAACTGAGTTGCAGGGTATATCTAGGAAGATTCTTGAGCCCTGGGAAGAAAGCTGTGCGTACCCCTAGGAAGGCGGGTATTTGCCAGGGAGGGCAGCAGGTGACATTTCACGTAGAGCCACCACAAAAGCAAAAAGCAGACAGACATTGGAAAGAACTTGGGGATAGGTGCCATAGTCAGGAATGGCTTTGGGCCAGTTAGTGGGAGTTGTAGACAAAGGGCCCTTCCAGTTTTTGGAGGCCAGAAAGTTCCCAGCTGGTCCTTCAGTGGTAGGCCTGAGGTCAGAGAGGAGCCCAGGGCTCCTGACCTCCAGGCTCAGTGGCAGGTGTTGGACCACCAGCCGTTCTGGGATGAAGGCCACCAGAGCTACTTGGGACAGTCGGCTGGCCAGGAGTGAGGCAGACTTCACTGCCTGCCCTGTGGGAATATGCCACTGGAGAAGGGCAGCTGCCTGGCACGTGGCAACCATACCTCTTGGTGTGGAACTCGGGGAACCGCCCCTGGCTGTTTCCGTGAAGCTGCTTATGGCCAACTAGCTGGGATTTGGGTAAAGCATTCCCTGGAGAGAGGCAGGAGAACCCTGGGAACCACAGGGGTTTTGGTGGGCTGGGTGCTTTGCCTTAGCTCTCGGGTGTTCATATTTTCTCTCTTCCAGTTTTCCTTGTCTGGTTTTGGATTTGTTTTCCCTTTCCCTTGCTACGCCAGCTTCCCTCCTTCTCTGTTTCTTTTATCCTTTGAACAGGAACATTTTGGAAAAGACAAGTCGACAGAATTCCAGCTCTTTGCCTCTCCTCATGGGAAGGACTTGCTGTTTACAGATGATACCGATGGGTTTTTAAGAGTTCCTCCTAAGATGGACGCCAAGCTATACGTGGGATACGAATATTTTGCTGCCTTTCAGCATCAGAGGATAGGTGTGTAAAGTCCTGGGAGGAAAGTAGAGCAGGAAAGCCAGAGAGGCTTTCCCAGTGCCTGCAAGCGTCACCTCACCCAAACTTCACTGGCCCATGGAGCCCAAGGGAGCTACCAACTGCACTGGGTTAGTGAGAGGATTTTCTGCTGAGCTGGAGAAAAGGCCTGAACTATGAGATCACAAAAGGTTTTTGAAGATCTTCAGATTACAATCAGCTTGAAGTAATGATGGTTCTTGCTCCTGTGTATTAACCAGGGTCACCCCACCCAGTGGCAGGTCTATATGACAGGGAAAAATAGCACATCCCAAACTGAAGTGGGGACATGTCCTCTGCCACTACCAGGAGTGAAACTAGAATTTCAGAGGGTATTAATCCAACCTTTGCCTTCCTCTAGATCACTATGGTTCATTTCTTTTTTCCTTCTTTCTTTCCTTTTGTTTTCATTTAGTCAACCAATGGTTAATGAGCATCCACAAAAGTCAGTGTGTTAGATGTGGGCATACTGTGGTGATCAGACATTGGGTGAGGGGGAGAGCAATCAGGCTCACCCAAAGGAGAACACATGACTACCAACTGGGGAATGCTACTGTTGGGAGAACCCAGTCCTGTCAGAGCAAACTCTGGAAGGTCCTGACCTTCTGGTGCTCAGAAAATGTTCCCCTCAGGAGGATATCCTCAAGGAGGTGAGGTCAGGAGGGTGGGGAACTGCTCTGCCTTCACTACTCTTTCTGAGTACCGAGCTCCCCATTTCTCCTGGAGGGTGATAGACAGGAATGAGCAGTGATATGGGCATGAGACATATCCACTCTGCTGCTGTCAGTGAGGGCCCCATTGGACAGCCATTCTATAGCCAGTGGCACTAAGCTCCCAGACACATCTTCGGACTTCTTTTGGATGCCTGGCTTTTCTCCACCTGTCCTAGGTGTGGAAGACACCCAGAGGGTGCTGTGGTGTGCAGTGGGCCACCATGAGAGGGTCAAGTGTGATGAGTGGAGTGTCCTAAGCGGTGGTGCCTTACAGTGCACCATAGAGGAGACCACTGAGGACTGCATCGCCACCATCGCAGTAAGGAGGGCCCCACCTCCACAGCTGGGCTTGGACACCCAGACATGTGGCCTCTCTGCCCTCTTCCCATGTCTTCCTGTTGGCCATGAGGCTAAAATGCACCCACCCTCCAAAGCCCCACCCAACTCTACTGAATGTGCTCCTGTAGCTCAGGCTGGCCCGAGACCCAGACTCCTTAGGTCAGCTCTGGAGTCCTGGGAGCTCTGAGTATTGTCCTGCCCAGGAGATGCAGGAAGGGGGGTGACATCCCAGGGGGTGGTCAGGGCCCCTGTGGATTGTGAAAGCAAATCAACCTCAGTCCTTGAGTTGTAAATATAATTTTTTTTCTGGTGATAAAAATATTATATGCTGGAAGTGAAAGGAAAGATAAGATCATTCACAACTTTCTAACTCAGAGATCATTACCACATAATTTCTGAGTTATGAAGTTGTGTCATTAACTTTCCATTTCTCTATGGGCAGATAATATTTTTGTGATTAGAAAAATAAATTTACAATAAAAGACTAAAAAATTGACAAACTCAGGAGATACACATTCTTCTTTAATAAGATCTTTATTTTTTTTTTAAGATTTTATTTATTTATTTGACAGAGAGAGACACAGCGAGAGAGGGAACACAAACAGGGGGAGTGGGAGAGGGAGGAGCAGGCCTCCTGCCGAGCAGGGATCCCGATGTGGGGCTCGATCCCAGGACCCTGGGATCATGACCTGAGCCGAAGACAGATGCTTAACGACTGAGCCACCCAGGCACCCCTAAGATCTTTATTTTGATAAACCTTCCTGGGGCTAACCCATCACTAAGATCTTGCAATTTATACAGTCTCCTAAATGTGTCAGTTTTAAGGATTAGATGAATTTGAGTGCTCAGGACATTGCCTAGCATATAGTATGTAGTCAATAAATGTTATCTATTGTTGTTATTTAAAGTCAGCACAGTAGGTGCACTTTCTTAGGTAACGGAATATTCATTTAAAATGTTTTTAATGGCTGCACAATATTCCACCAATATTTCTGCCTCAATTTATTGAACTGATTTCTCAATGTCTACATTTGAATTATTTCCAAATCCTTTGCTATTGTAGATAATATGGGATTGAAGATTTTTGTTCTATAACCTCAATATTTCTGGGTATATCTTTAATAATAATAATAGCTAATATTTTGGAAGTTACTTACTATGCGCCAAACATGTTTATGAGCTCTTAACTTGCATTAACTCATTTATTTATTTATTTTAAAGATTTTATTTCTTTATTGTCAGAGAGAGCACACAAGCAGGGGGAGCGGCAGGCAGAGGGAGAGGGAGAAGCAGACTCCCCGCTGAGCAAGGAGCCCGAATGTGGGACTTGATCCCAGGCCCCTGGGATCATGACCTGAGCCAAACGCAGATCCTTAACCTATTGAGCCACCCTGGCGTCCTGCATTAACTCATTTAATCCTCACAAAGAGCCTATGAACCCATTTTATGGATGAAAAAGAATGTGTATAGAATAGTTTTTAGGTATGTGTTCTTCAGAATAGTCTGATTCAGGAGGCCATGTGGTATACTGGTTATGAGCAGAAGCTAAGGAATTAAACTGTTTAAGTTTTAGTTTTAGTGAGCATCTGTTGGAGAAATTATTTAACTTCCCTCTGCTTTACTTCACTAATGTATAAAAGGGGAAGAATTATAGTACCTACCTTATTGGATTTTGTGAGGAATACATGAGGTAATCACTGTAAGATGTTTAGAAAGGGCCTGGCACATAGTAAAGGCTTGGTAAGTTTTTGTTTGTATAGTTGCTACTGTTTTAAGATAGATTTCTAGAAGGACAGTTAATGGGTCAAAAGCCAAGAGTGAGTATGTATCTGTTTGTTTTTATCTCAATGATCTTATCTATCACTGTAAGTATACATTTTTTGCTCTGTTGTTGGAAAATTTCATTGATTAAAATAAGTTAATTATTAATGAATTATTTAATTAGAGAAATTGTTTCTTGCAAGTCTTTGTTGTGCCAGGGCTCTGAGTATAGTGCTAATGGGATTATGGGAACAGAATTGAACTCCACCATACAGAAGAAGAAATTCCATAGAAACATAGTAAATACAGGGGCGCCTCGGTGGCTCAGTTGGTTGAATGTCCAGCTCTTGGTTTTGGCTCAGGTTCTGATCTCGGGGTGGTGAAATTGAGCTCCATGTTGATCTCCGCGCTCAGCTTGAGAATGTGCTTGAGATCTCTCCCTCTTCCACACGCGCCCCCTCCCCGCTCCTCCCCATTTGTACTCTCTTTCTCTCAAATAAATAAATAAATAAAATCTTAAAAAAAAAAAGAAACATAGTAAATACAACCCCTGAGTCTGGCCATGTAGATTGTTGAGTGACAGTGGTCACAAAGAAAACGTGGTGAGGGCATGTCCAGTACTCAAGATGGGTCTAATGAGAGGTCAGAGATGCCAGGGAGCAGGATCTGGGTTGGGCACTTATTCCTGGGTCAACATGTCCAGTTTTCTAAACCCTGTGGTGAAATGGCAGAAGTTTTGGGTGATCCATGATTTGATGAATCAAAAGGACATGTGACATAAAGCCAATGAGAGATACCTCTGAGAGTCAGTGAGACAGGAAATGGCCTCACTGTTGTGCTACTGATTTATTTCTTAACTTCAGAAAGGAGAGGCTGATGCCATGACTTTGGATGGAGGCTTCATCTACACAGCGGGCCAGTGCGGTCTGGTGCCTGTCCTGGCGGAGAACTACAGTAAGTGGAAGGGGTGCCTGTCAGTGTTTTATTTTCTCTGGGCCGTGGACATAGAAAGAAGGAGAAATGATCCAGTTCCTTGTCGAGATAATAATTAACTACGGGTAGAGTGTAAGAGGCTAGCAGACAGTATCCTCCTTCTGCAGAGTCAGAGCCAATGAAGATACGGACACAGGAGTTAGCCAGAACGAGATGAAAAGACCTATTACCGGAAGGGTGATATTGGAGGGCATGGTACAGAGCTGGCTTCAAGGCTGGCCAAATTGCCCTGGAGTTAGAGTCACCCACTAGTTCAGGAGAACAGGTCTGTCGGCTTACCCTACGGCTCAGGGTCCGGGAGAATGCATATTGTCATAGAGCTTCATCGAAAAGATCTAAACTGCCCTCTCCCCACTCTCTTCCATGAAGAAAGGAGGGGCTGAGCCACATGTGCCTCACTCAATACTTTTGCTAAATTTACTAGTCCGAAATTAACTCACCCCAGCTGCCCTCGAAGGTTGAGTGGTGAGGCTACAAGGTCATGTTCTTCAGTGGGGATCCTTTCACATAAAAAAATAAAGCTGGGGAAAAGGGGATTTCACCAATATAATTTATTAAGCACCTCATCTGCTAGGCAGTGAGCAAGAAACCATACATTTTCCTTCAAAACAAAACAGCTCTGTGAAGTAAATAATGGTAGCTCTGTTTTACTGATATAAAAACTAAAGCTGGGAGAAGTTAAATGAGGTGTCCAAGGTAGAATGAAGACTGTATCCAGGTTTTTCTGACTCCATGGACTGGTTTTTTTCCCCTCCAACATGGCAAGAATATAATGATTGCCTACCACAGTCCAGAGCTCTGAGGGGAAAAAGATGTCAGGATGACTTGAATCACATAGCCAATGCAAAAGATCTTTGTCAAGATCTTTAGTGGTCTCTGCCCCTCTTCAAAGGGCATCTCATTTTCTTTCTCCGTAACTCCCTGAATGCTGGGGAGATTCTGGGGTGGAACCTAATATTCAAATGGCAAAGTTCAGGGAGAGAGGAGTTAAATGGGCCTGCAGAATCTTGGCTTGTTGATAACCAGTGACAAACTTCTTAGCTGGTGTTTCTTATTTTATTCCTCACTCTTGAGATTGAGAAGCTCATGACTTTGGATTGAGTAATATGAGAGTTTAATGCCATGTATCCCGATTGTTTTTCTTTTTAGTGCCTAAGGATGGGTCTACGTGTGTAAATACACCTGTGGTAGGTGAGTCAGAATCAGTAACACTGGGGCTCAAAGGTAAAGGCCATCATTGGGGAGAGGGTGAGGAGAGTCTTCAAAATGAAGCAAAGTTACTAGAGTTATAAACAAAACAAAACAAAAAACAAAAAACAAGAAGGAGGATGAGCTATCACCACTACAGCTTATTGTTAAAGAGCAAATCTGTCATGAAGCTGTGGTGATAATTACTGTTTGTGGGGTTCTTTACTGGCAACAAAGGACTCCTGCTTGCACTATTCCCGTTTACTCTCCTCAGCAATCCTCTAGGATGTGGGCATCATTATCCCGTGTTGTGTAGATGGGGAAAGTGAGGCCCAGGGCCACACAGCCAGGGAGTGGCTGTACCTGGGCTTGAGAAGAGGTGGTGTGACCGGAAACCCCTTGCCCTTCCTGATGCACCACCTTACTCCTTGTCATATGCTGCCTGCCCTTCTCTGCGCCAGGAGGCAGGAGCCCACTTCTGACACTTCTGGGCCAAGTGGAGGCTTCACTATAGGAGGAGAGTCATAGATGCTCTAATGAAGAGGAGGGGGGAAATGAACTCGACCTTTTAGCTTTCAGCCAGCTGATTTTAATAACGGAGGAGTCGATCTTGTCTTTAGAATAGACCAGGTGACAAGTTCTCCCATCTGTATCTACATAGGCAGGGAGGGTCTGTATCTGTTCCTGAAGTACCTAATCTTGGAACACAGAGCAGTGTTTCTCAATCTAGTGTAGTGCCTGGACCGGCTGCATCAGCATCACCTGAGAACTTGTGAGAAATGCAAATTCTTGGGCTCCACCCAATCCACTGAGTCAGAAACTCCAAGGGTGGGGCCACTGCTCTGTGTTTTAACAAGCCCTCCAGCTGATTCTGATGCACATCGGGGTTTGAAAACAACTGTGGGGGAGGATTCTGAGATGAAAACAGGTGCTCACTTGGGTTTGGAGTTTCTTATGGGACAGGTAAACTGGGGGAAGTGGGTGGGTGGGTTTGGACCACCACAGCACCAGCAGCAGCTCTGGTCCCCGCTGAGCGCAGGGCCACAGAGGCCCTGCAGGCCCATGCCCCACCAAGGCCTCTAGAGTGCAAAGCTGCTCCCCTGCAGCAGCTCCCCTCCATGTGCAACAGGACCCAAGCCCTAGGATATGCTGTCCCCGCCCCCTCTGCTTTTATGGCTAACAGTCTTCAGTGAGCTGCGTCTTCATCCCCAACCCGAACGGCTGGCATTTTGTCAGCCATGCAGTCTCTTGAGTATGGAATACGTGAAGTCAGAAAGAACTCCGCTTCAAGAATGGTTGACATTTCCAGGAACTGCAGTATATGCAAATGCAGGTCAACAAAGATGCTTAGAAGACAGTTCAGGGTGGCTGGCTGTGATGCAGAAGGTTAGATTTGAGTAGAGACAGAGAGGGATCAACTCCAAAGACAAAGACACACACACAACACACACACACACACACACCCGATGGCAATAATTAATGCCATTTGTGCAGAATTAGTTACACCTCCAGAAAGGTACTGCAACAGTATTTGGCTGCCAGAACGGTGTAATAGGGCACAGTCTGGTAAGCAAGGGCTTGCCCTGGCCTCAGGAGAATCTGCCTCACTGAGAGGGGGGCTCTGGTACTGCTTGTGCCACCAGCTGCATGGCCGGAAACCCAGCATTGTAACCTCCCCGTCCTATCCTAATGTACCATGTGCCCATATTAGCACATCTGATCCCCCCGAAAGCCCCCTGGATGGGTATCAGTGTCGCCATTTTACTGAGGAATAACTGGCAAGGCAAGTCTTCTACCTGCCATGTTGACTTCCAATTTTTCCAGGCTTGAATATACACACCCGAACCATGACGGCAAGCAAGGGAGTGTAGAGGGGAGGGGGGGTTCGGAGTAGTGGTGGAGGACCACATTCCCTTCTAGTTCTGAAGATTTAGGATTCTAATCTTCTTATAAATTCTGCTTTACTGTTTAGGCCTCAGTCAATAAGTACAATGCAGTTACAGAGTATTGGGATAGGAATATATCAAATATCAGTGGTGTTCCCGTTAGAATCAAGAACACGAGAAGAAGGCCCACTCTCACCAAAGACACTTGGTATTACTTTGGAAGTGAATGCAGGATGATTTAAAAGATTAGAAAAATATTTTTCATATTGGAGAGAAAAGAGATTAAATTGTCACTATTAGAAAATGATGTTATCATAAATCTAGAAAATCAGAGACTTTAAAAAAGAAGTTATTAAAGCTCTTTCTTTTGGATTTCAACAAAAGTATTTCTTTTTTTTTTTAAAGATTTTATTTATTTTTTAGAGAGCGAGCGAGAGAGAAACAGCATGAGAGGGGAGAGGGTCAGAGGGAGAAGCAGGCTCCCCGCTGAGCCGGGAGCCCGATGTGGGACTCGATCCCAGGACCCTGGGATCATGACCTGAGCTGAAGGCAGACGCTTAACCATCTGAGCCACCCAGGTGCCCTCAACAAAAGTATTTCAACAGGCACACACTTATATGTACAAGATTTATATAGGTGATTTGTAATATGGCAAAGTGGGTCACACTGTAAATGCCCACTAGTGGGGGGATTACAAAATATGGTACTTCCATACAGTGGAACATAACTTAGGTTCAACCAATAAACAGAATGAGATAGCTATATCTACTTCTGCTGAATCAAAAAGGTGCTCACAATATATCACGGAGGGAGAATAAAGCATCTCGCAGTAAAGAATGTATAGCAGGAATCCATTGAAAAAGTATGAAGTATGTGTGTAAATATTTCTGGATGTCTGTATGTAGAAATGTCTGGAGAGCAGTAGTGGCAGACTGTTTGGCCCCATACCTAATAATGATAGTTATTGGTAGGGTCTTCTGCTAGAGTAAGGGGAGGTGTTCAAGGCATTCCCCTTCCCCTGGGAGAGGGGCAGGCAGGGGCTAACTGTAGCAGCTCTAGAATACATTTTCAGAGGGTCCTGGAGCTACTGAAATTGCATTTTGTTATCTCTGTTGCCAGGTCATTATGTCGTGGCAGTGGTTAAGAAATCAGATCCCTACGTCACTTGGGGCTCTCTGCAAGGCAGGAGGTCCTGCCACCCCGCAGTTGGTACTTCTGCAGGCTGGATCATCCCCATGGGTTTGATATACAACAAAACCGGGTCCTGTAAATTTGGTAAGTGTATTCTGTGATGCGGTGCAGCAGCCCCTTCCTTGAGCCTGTACCTGCGTAGGACAGGAATTCAGTTCAATGACAAGGAATGTCAAGGGATGGCATAAATTGATAGTGGGGTCAAGGGCTGGGCAGACATTACAGGTGAGCTTCACCTGTCCTTGAGCAGGTGCTTCCCTTTCTCCTCACCTCCTTACTTCTGAGGGGAGTGGCTTGGCCCAATGGGTAGATATCAGGGAAATACCCTATTCTTTATGTTTTACAACTGGCTCAGGGAACAAGCCTGGGGTTGCAGAGTAAGAGTGGTGTGTGTGTGTGTGTGTTGTTTTCCCATATAAACCAGATTAGCTGCTTTGTAAAAATTGAAAACCATATACCAGTAAGTCCTTGGGTGCTTTTTCGCTTGCATCCTTATCTCCCTTAGAGTCTCAGATCTATCATTTTAGCAGTAGTCTTGCCAATACCTAAAAGGCTCCCGGTGCCCTGCTTTTCCCAGCCATCTGACAAATCCCACCTCTGCATGAACCCCATTACCTGCTCCCTTCACTCGCTTAGCAGCTAAGGAAGCTTCATGTCCTTAGCAGCTAAACATGGCTGGAGAAGTCACAGGGTAGATCAGTTCGTTCCACTGGAAATGGTCCAGAAGCTGGCCCCGGTGGGCCTCGGGCAGGCACACCCTCACTGTGTTGCTCCTCCACACCCCTGTACTTCGCAGTAATTATCCTAATGTCCTCGCTGTCCACACGTTTCCAGCCAACACCCATCTACCACCCGTTCTCAGCACATGACTCATCTCAGCTGCAACGGACAACTGAAAGGGTCAGAAAGGTTCCCCCTCACCATCCCACTGCCAAAGCTGTGGGCCTCCTCATGGCTGTATCCGCTCAGCTTCCCTCCACCTGTACTTTGGGTGTGGGCCTACAGAAAAGGGGCCTCCCCTCCCTAGAGCCTCATACCCTTGGTTACTACTTCTCATTCTAGTATAGCCAACAATTTCTTTCAACGTCAGTGTTTTCCATCTTTAAAAGTCCTCCCTCTCCCAGCAGTCTCCTCCAGCTTCTGACTTGTTTCTCTTCCCCCTTGCTGCCAGACTCCTTAACAGCATGGTCTGAGCCACTCATCTCCCACTCACTCCTCCACTCCCTGTCCTCTGGCTTCTCTGCATCATTCCATAGGAAGGACTCTGGTCAAGGCTACGGTGACCTCCATGTTGCTCAGTTGGAAGGTCATGCTCCAGGCCATTCCTCTGTTACTTCTCTTTCTTCAGATCACCTTAAAACACTATCTTCTGGCTTTTGTGAAAACACTGGCTTGGTTTTTCTCCCACCCTTACAAAGCCCCCTCTCCCAATCTGGTTAATAAATGTTTCAATTGCTTAAAGCAACTTTCTTCCCCCACCCTAACTCAATCTGCAGGCACTCACATCCATGCCTCGTTTACCATCTAAGCAAATAATACTATACATACAAAACTAGGCACTTGCCGTTTGCAACGATGTGGATGGAACTGGAGCGTGTTATGCTGAGCGAAATAAGTCAATCAGAGAAAGACATGTATCCTATGACCTCACTGATATGAGGAATTCTTAATCTCAGGAAACAAACGGAGGGTTGCTGGAGTGGTGGGGGGTGGGAGGGTGATAGACATTGGGGAGGGTATGTGCTATGGTGAGTGCTGCGAATTGTGCAATACTGTTGAATCACAGATCTGTACCTCTGAAACAAATAATACAATATATGTTAAAAAAAAAAAAAAGATAGCAGGAGGGGAAGAATGAAGGGGGGGAAAGCGGAGGGGGAGACGAACCATGAGAGACGATGACTCCGAAAAACAAACTGAGGGTTCTAGAGGGGAGGGGGGTGGGAGGATGGGTTAGCCAGGTGATGGGTATTAAAGAGGGCACGTTCTGCATGGAGCACTGGGTGTTATACACAATGAATCATGGAACACTACATCAAAAACTAATGATGTAATGTATGGTGATTAACATAACAATAAAAAATTTTAAAAAAAAACTAGGCACATAGCCAGCACTAGATAAATGTTTGCTGCTATCACTATTATTGTTATATCTATATGCTGATAACTATTACATCTTTATCCCTAGCACAGATCTCTTTTTGACCTCCACACCTGTGTATATTGAACTGCCTATCTGACGTTATCTAATTGGATATTTCAAAAGCACATTAAGCTCAAAACAAAATGTATCATCTCTGCTGAGTCTGCTCCAGAGCTGCCTAGCTCAGTGGAGGACCCTACATCCATCCACTTGCCCCAGCGGGAAACCAAGCTGTCATTCTCCACGTACCCATCCATCACCAGTGATGTCCCCCTCTACTGTCTCCCACCCCTTGTGTTACTCTAGTCCAAGCTGTCCTTATCTCCCCTGGACTACTGCACCCCTGCACCCCACATCTGCCCTGGATTCCATTCATCCCACTGGCAGACCAATCTTTGCAAAGTGCAGATCTGGCTATATCCGGCCCACTACCCCTGGTCCAGCATTGCTGTAGGCCTTCAGAAGCTCCTGATTTCTCTAAGGATAAAGAACAAAATTTATACAAAGGTGTAAAAGCGGGTCTGGACCTTGCCTCCTCTCCACTCACTCTTGTACTGGATGGTCTAGACCAATGGCCTCTTATTGAACTTTCCATGCTATTTGCCCTCACTCCCCACCCCTGCCCTGGGCCTTTTCAGATGCTGCTCCGTGTCTGGAAAGCTCTTGTCCTTTCACCCTTTACTTAAGTAATTGCTATTCATTCTTCATCTCTCGACTTGAGGCCTCTCCCTGATTCCCAGGTCTTTACCAGGTTCCTTTATGTACAACCATGTAGAACCATATTCTTCTTTCCCATTGCAAGCCGGGTAGGAGGTGGGGGGTATGAATTCACTAGTGTGGCTACTTGAGTTATGACTGTTGCTCATGGACTTGGGTTCCAGGAGCACAGGGCCTATGTGATGTCCTCACCGCAGTGCCCTGGGGCCCAGCACAGGGCTTGGCAGCTGAGCCTCTCAGCCCCTTCCTGCATTTGGAGTCAAGATGGAATACCTTATAAGGGAGGGCAAGGGCAGCAGAGGTCAGGGAAAATGTGGGAGAGGTTCGACCGGGTGGGGCTTTCAGTTTTGTTCTCTCTCTTAGAATTGCATCTGTGTCTATCCTTCCACACCTCCCACCCTGTGCCATTTCTGTTCCACAGACCCTTGTCCCAACTTCAGCCAGTCCCCCTTCACTTTGCTCTAGTTGCAACTTTTTTTTTTTTATTCTGTAAGGTTCTTCTTTGTAATAATATGGTACCAAACACCCAAATGTGTCTCTACACCATTCAAGCAACTCTAGGGACAAAATCGGAGGCTTTCTGGCCAACACAGGCAAGAAGAGCTGACCTCCTGTGTTTTCCTGCACAGATGAATTCTTCAGTCAAAGCTGTGCCCCTGGGTCTGACCCAGATTCCAGTCTCTGCGCTCTGTGCAGTGGTGGCAGCAGCCCAGCCCACACCTGTGCCCCCAACCACCACGAGAGATACTATGGCTTCAGCGGGGCATTCAGGCGAGTAGTGTCTGTGCACCACCTTTCTCTTGGGCACCAACCCAGCGAACCTCTTGTCCTTTCATCTTTTCCATCACCCCAGGATCTGGCTGCTACAGTTAGGAGGAGCCAGAATTAGAAAACAGAACGGCAAATTCCCACTGGCTCTAAGGACTCAAGCCCAGCTCCTTTCTGGAGCGCTTTTCTGCAGACCCAGCTGACTTAGGGCACCTGAGGAGAGGCAAGAATGAGGGGTGCAGGATCACAACCCTGGGTCTACTTTTGTTCTTTTCTTCTGTGTGATTGTGGACAAGTCACGGAATCTTTCAGAGCGCCAGTTTAAAATCAGAGGACGGGTACTGGACATGTGCTTCTTACACCTGGCTGATGAGTACATTTTAAAAATAGATATTCCTGGGCTGCTCCAGCCCTTCAAGAAACCTTTATTGAGCACCTACTATGTGGCAGGCACTGGTCTAGGTAGAGGGGTTATAGCAGCAATAAGAAACAGGTAGCTCCCCTGTCGCCTGTGTCTTATCTCAGGGGGAGAGTAGGACAATAAACATATAAATAAGGGTCAATCACTTCCTGACTGTGCTGAGTGCGGCAAAGGAACAAGGAGGGTGCTGTGGTAGTGACCTGGGTAGACCAAACGAGAGTCAAGAATTTTTAAATAAAATTATACAAGGGGAATTTTGTCTTCCTAGATATAAAAATCACATTTAATACTATATAATACTGTAAGACTATGATCAGTACAGCCTGGTTTGTGTCGAAGAATGACAAATCAGTGGAAGAGAATAGACTTCAAAGACTTATACATGGACACATTATATTTGGCGTATAACAAAGATAACATTTCAAACTGGGGAAAGATGAACTTGAAAGATCAAATAAATGAGTGTGGCGAACTGGCCCCTGGATCTGGTGGGAGCAGATTCAATAGTGAGTCAGTCCCATAAGCTGATTGGCAGGGGTCGGTGAGGGTGGGGTGAAGGGGTGCTGATCACAGGTGCAGTGATTCCTTTTAGGTGTTTGGATGAGTTGGGGAGGGAGGCCCATTGCTAAGGGCAGTGTGGGATCGAGACAGGGATTATTGCTTTTCAAAAAAGGAAAGAAGTATGAATGCTGATGAAAAGAGCCCAGTGAATGGAGAAAGACTCCAATTGCATAAGGGAGAGAGGATAACTATCAGAAGGTGCCTGAGGGGATGGGATGCAGGACACCTGGGGAGGACACTGTTGTAGAGAGGGAGACCTTCACTCCTTTGTGCCTGGAGGGCAGGAAAAGAGCCCTGGAGACTTAGGCTGACAGCTTTGGCAGAGGGAGGCTGGTAGAAAGCTCATGTCACGATAGCTGTATTTTCTCTGGGAAGCAGGAGCACATGGTAGAGTGAGTGTTGGGGAGAGGGTATGTGGAGAGACAGACGCATGCAGGAATTTGAAAAACATTTTAGTCACTGCTCTGTGGAATGGGGAGGTGGCTATCTCAAACAGTGGTTCTCACCACTAGAGCACAGATTCTCCTAGGGGGCTTGTTAAAACACAGATTGCTGTACCCCACCCCCAGAAGTTTCTGATCTAGTAGGTCTGGGGTAGGGCCCCAAGAATGTGCATTTCTGACAGGTTCACAGCTGGTGCCGATGCTGCTGATCCCAGCCCACACGTAGAGAAACACAGATCTAGAGTAGAGTGAGGAAAGCAGGAATGCCCAGGAGAAATGAATGATCAGGAGCTTCTCTGCTCTGCCTCCCTGCTGAGATACAGACACCTGAGGCAGACCATCATGCTTATTCAGGACTGGGATTATATGAAGGGCAGGAAGAGGAAAGAAATGGGGCAAAGGGAGCTTAGGAAAATTGAATAGGAGTAATTAGTCCTAGCTAAGTATAGAGGGACCTGAAGTTAGGAGAGAGAGAAAACTGGAGAGGTGCTCCTGATAACCAATCACTAATGTCAATTGCCAACTGATTGGATGTCATAGTACTGATTGTTAATGTGTTTGACATTTCTCATAAAGAATGGACCTTAAACACAGAGGAACAGTTTTCTGGGAATTAAGTGTGAACACATATCTAGTGATGCACATTCACTACTGAGCATTAAGGCTGACTAGGCGTATGGATGTGAAAAGGCTCCTTCAAAATCATGTCTTCCATGTTGATTTTAATCTCTGGTGTGAGTTTTGATCTGACCAGAAAGTCATTCTTGAATATTCCTATTAATAGGAGAACACAAACATCTCCTCTGGAGAAAATGATCCGTATTTAAAATAAGGAACCAAACAGTGGTTATCTACAATGGAAACAAAATAAGCAGGTTTCTTCTTCTTTTTTTAAAAAATTTTATTTATTTATTTGAGAGAGGGAATGAGATAGAGAGCATGAGAGGGGGGAAGGTCAGAGAGAGAGGCAGACTCCCTGCTGAGCAGGGAGCCCGATGTGGGACTCAATCCCGGGACTCCAGGATCATGACCTGAGCCGAAGGCAGTCGCTTAACCAACTGAGCCACCCAGGCACCCAGCAGGTTTCTTCTTATTATTACATTTCCCCTCGAAGTCTCTGGGACAGCCCGAGTGTTACAGTTGTGTGTGTGGATGTGGTAAGCATTAGGTGTGCCCACTGGCCTCAGGTGGAGGGGGTGTGAGCCTCTCAGTGGTTCCCTCTGGGTGTCTCTCCCTCCCACTCCCATTGGAGCTCCTCACTGATCTGACGCTTGCTGTGCAGGTGTCTGGTTGAAAAGGGAGACGTGGCCTTTGTGAAGGAGATCACCGTCTTCCAGAACACTGACGGTATGTGCCTGTGCTGTCATTTCCTCCCTTGGAAAAAGTCTGGGTCTCTCCCAGGAAGTCACTCCCCAATCGGGCAACTAGGGAAGTTTATTAAAGCATGGCTGGCTCTCTTCATTTATAGGCGTTCCTTATATATTCTGGATACAAGTTTTTGTCAACTATATGATTGACAATACCTTGTTTCTCTCTGAAAGGCTTACCTTTTCACTTTCTTAATGATGTCTTTCGATGAACAGGTATTTTAATGTTTAATGTAGTTCAACTTATCAATCTTCTTTCTGGCTAGTGCTTTTTTAGGCCTGTTTAAGAAACTTTTGCCTTTAACAGGACTGAAAAGGCACTAACCAAAGAGGCTATGAATTTATAACTATGCATTTTTCTCTTTCTTCTATTTTTAAAGTTTAATTATTTCATTTTTCTGTGTCTCTGTGATTCTCCCAGACATTGGTGGTTGGTCACATCCCCCCGGGGAGGGCACCTTGACCAAAGCTGTCAGCTGTGGCTGACCAACCTTCCTCCTCCCCAGGAAAGAGCCCTGAAGCATGGGCTAAGGATCTGAAGCTGGGTGACTTTGAGCTGCTGTGCCTTGATGGTACCAGGAAGCCTGTGACTGAAGCTTGGAGGTGCAACCTGGCCATAGTCCCAAATCATGCTGTGGTCTCAAGGAAAGATAAGGCAGCTTTTGTTAGCAGAATGCTCTTCAATCAACAGGTATGGGCACACAGGAGGTCCTTCTACACGGTCCCCCCAGCTGAGTACTCAGGTCACCTCCAGAACTGACACCCAGCCCAGTCTCACACCCTTTCTCCCTGGGCAGATTCTCACAGCCCTGCCTCTGAGGAAAGCAGAAAGCTAGCTGGTAACTATGTTCAATTTGTGCTCTGGGGGTGTCTAGGATATCAACATGGACTGAAAAAGCTTCGGACACATGAGTATCTGAAGGGTCTCCCTAAGACTCACTTACCTCTCTGGGCAGACTCCTGGTATCTCCTGGACTTGTTTAGTTCCTCCATGAGAGTTATCTCTTTCTTCTTCTGTCACAGAAATAAGGGATTTGGCTCAGTGCCCTTCACACTAGAGTGAGGAATTATATGTGGGAAAAGCAGACTAGAGGCTACTCTACCTGACTTAGGGTGGGTCCCAATGCATTACTGAACCTGGGCAGGCTGAGCTCTGCTTTAGGCTTCATGAAAGTTCAAAAGCCAACATTCAGACAACTTATGACCTCTACAGGCAGCCAACAAGGGCTATGAAGTAGCAGGATGCCTAAATCTTAAGGAAAACCCAAAGCCTTAGCTGCCTATCACACTCATATGCCCCATTCCTGGAAGAGCCCCATATGAGTAATCCATGTCTTAGCATATGCTGCCCACATGTTTAGTTAGAGGACTACAACCCAGGGAGAACTGGCAAAACCAGAGACTCTTGGTCAGGGACTCCTGAAGGCATGTCTCCCAAAAGGCAAGCTGCCCCCTTGGCTGTAGGGGGCTGAACAAAGAAAGAGGAGGGGAAGGAAGAGATGGAAATGGTCAGGTGCCTGGGGCACATGTAGAGAATAGAAGAGGCAAGGCAGCAAGGGCTTTGGGCAGCAGAAGACAGGTAGTATGACCCAGGAAGTTGAAAATATCCAGCAGTGACTGGCAGAATTGTGATACAGTGGCTACAAAACTTGAAGCTTTTTTTATTTAGCAATTACTTTACATACACCATCTCCATTTACAAATGAGTAAACTGAGGCTCACTGACACAGTAAAGAAGTTTCCTAAAGTCACACGACAAGGAAAAGTGAGGGCCACGATTTGAACCCAGATGCCGTGTTTTTTTGCCATTAATGGTGCCTCTGAAACTGTTGGCTGTGTCCCAGGTCTCCCGGGGGCTGGAGCTGAGCAGTGCAGTAGACTTAGATCTTCTGAAGCAGAACACACAACCTCGTGCTCTCTGGTGCTGCTGCTCACTCTCTGTCTGTCTGTCTGTGTGTCTGTCTGTGTGTCTGACCCAGGAGCTCTTTGGAAGAGATGGGTTTGAATACAGGATGTTCCAGATGTTTCAATCCTCAACTAAGGACCTGCTCTTCAGCGATGACACGGCATGTTTGGCTAACCTTCAGGATAAAACAATTTATCGAAAATACTTAGGACCAGAGTATCTTACGGCCATTGCTAACATGGGACAATGCTTACACTCTGGTGAGTAGAATAAAACACCGAGGAACAATACCATGGGGGTCAAGGTAAACATATTTGTATTAAGGACCATTGTGTGCCAAGCCATGGGCCAGTACTGATGGGAGCACAAAGATGGAGAAGGCTTGCTTCTGGCCCTGCAGGAGGATGCAGACCTACCAGTGAGGTAACTCAATTAGATGGCAGTATAAGAAACTACCTGAAAAATGACCAAATCATTTGAAGGAGAAAGAGAGTGCAATTGAGATCATTTGGAAACTAAACTTGTTTACTTGTGCATTTCCATTTTTTTTTTCCTAACAAAATGAAAAGGTATACATGTGTGAGCACTTCAGTGTAGAGAGAGGGTTGGGAAATGACCTATATATATCACTCATAGAGGATCAATTTTCAAAGATTTTAAGTAAAATGTATAAATAATATTAACAGAAACAGAATGAAGTTAGCACTGTATGTGCCCTTTCTAGTTTTATATATACGTATTAGAACGGCATAGTGTATATGTGTGTGTGTGTGTGTTTTAGAATGGTATAGTTGCCTCAAAAAGGATTAAGCTGGAGAAATAAAATTAGAGCTGGGATAATCAAATTGCTGGGAGTGTGCCTGAGTTTTTGTTGAATTATATTGTGTGTTGGAGATGATGAGAGCAGGAGGAAAGGAAAATGTAGGTATTTAAGGATAGCACTGACATCAATTAGGAGATACAGACACAGACACAGAGAGAGAGAGAATTTAAAAAAATTATTATTGGGGTGCCTGGGTGACTCAGTCATTAAGCATCTGCCTTCGGCTCAGGTCATGATCTCACGATCCTGGGATCGAGCCCCGCATCGGGCTCCCTGCTCTGTGGGAAGCCTGCTTCTCCCTCTCCCGCTCCCCCTGCTTGCGTTCCTGCTCTCACTGTATCTCTCTCTCTGTCAAATAAATAAATAAAATCTTTTTAAAAAATTATTATTACCTAGCATTTGCTCTTAGAAAACAGGAACAGAATTGTGTTTAGTAAGCACAGGAAGTACCTAAAAGTCTTTCTCTTATGTTTTGCTTCACAGAACTTCAAGATGCCTGTACATTTCATGTACATTAAAAACCGATCAAAGTGGTTAACCACAGATGCTCAGTGCCTGCAAATATGGTGGGGACACATCCTCACTTGTCTGCATGTGGGCCTCTGTTAACCTCAGTTGTTTTATATAATTATGTGCTGTAACTGATACAAAAATTAAAATGAATAAAAATTATTGTGTCTTCTCAGAAAACTTCATTATATGTTCTCAGATTTTTTGAGGGGAGAAAACTATGTCTTTATACTAGATTTATGCTTCTAAATTTAATATCTATTAGATTGTACTTTCTTAAAGAACTGCACAAGACTAGCTCATCTTCCCACCCTATTCTTTATTTTACTGAAGAGGTGAGTCACTTACATAGAATTTAAGCAATAAATCTGTGTGAAGGGAGCCTGAGTGGTGATTACAAGTGTGCAAAAAAAATAAAAGCATCAGTGTGCGCAGTATCAAGGACTTACATAATAAAAACAAAGGATGAGGAATGAGTTTGTGTATTTAAAAATATATTTGAACATTTAAAATTCATAATGTCAAGTGGAATAAAAATCCTGACTCAGATTAATTGGGAGACATTAAAATTGCTGCAAAAATCGAACCCTACTACCCTTTTACAGTCAACTTCCCGAAAGTCTGACTCAATTAAGTCAGTTTCTTAGTCAAAAGTCAGAGATTCTGCCATATCTAGTATTACCATAATTGCAGTTTATGGTAATGACTCAATAAATATTGAATGGGACCCTAAGTTATATATTGTTAAATGTTAGTTTTATGAGTGTGAACTTCTGTTTCTTTCTGTGAAAGAGTAACCAGTACAGGACTTGCCCTCTTTCCATAAACAACTAAAAAACTGGACAAAGTATATGAAACAACCATTGGACAATAGCAGCACAGGACTCCGGTCCCTCAGAGAAGGGAAAGAAAAGAGGTAAGCAGGATGGTGACCCTACTTTTTGCCTGGAGGAAGTTTCCAGATGATGACCCAGGGAGGGGGAACCCAAGAAAGCCTGTCACACTGAGTTGAGGAAACAGAGGTAAGAGCTTGGAGAAGCAAGATGACTGGAGTTTGTATACAGAAGACATCTGTAGAAGAGTCCTCCTTGAGTGTTTGGTGAAATACTAATCTGCATGAGTGTAGAATGAAATTGAAATCCATCAGACTAGACAAAGAATAACTGTGAGAGACCTATAAGCTGAACAATTCCCAGCACCCACACAGAGCTAGGAATCATTTGTGTTCCTACTATAACCAGAGTGAAGAGACCTAATTGAATATCTAAGGATTTTACTGAAGGTCAGGCCTTGGATGGGAGGATAAATAAAGTACCTGTAGACGAAGGGCTGCTCTATTACTGCACTGAGAGTGAAACTAGCCTTGGTAGGATCCAGCTGATCTGTAAGTAACTTAACTTCCTTCTAAAACAAGCCTCAATACACATAAAGAAAGACAACAAAATCTAAATATTCGGAAACATAGCTTACGTAATATCTAGCATCAAATGCAAAAATTACCAGATATGCAAAGAAGCATAAAATGTAACTCAGAGTCAGAAGAAAAATCAACCAATAAAAACACACCTAGAGGGGCACCTGGGTGGCTCAGTCGGTTAAGTGTCAGACTCATGATTCTGGCTCAGGTCATGATCTCAGGGTTGTAAGATGGAGCCCTGTGTTGGGCTTCATGCTCAGTGCAGAGACTGCTTAAGATTCCACTTGAGATTCCCTTTGCCCCTTCCCCCCACTCTCTCTCAAATAAATAAATACTTAAAAAAAAAAAAGCCCCACACACCTAAAAACCAAAGAGATGATAGTATTTAGACAATGGACTTGATTTAAAAAATTTTTTTTCTTCAAGTTTTATTTAAATTCTAGTTAGTTAACATACAGTGCAATATTGGTTTCAGGAGTAGGATTCAGTGATTCACCACTTACATATAATACCCAGTGCTCATCACAAGTGCCCTCCTTAATACTCATCACCCATCTAGCCTATCCCACACCCACCTCCCTCCATCAACCCTCAGTTTGTTCTCTATGGTTAAGAGTCTCTTATGGTTTGTTTCCCTCTCTCTCTTCCCCCCCCTTCCCATATGTTCATCTGTTTTGTTTCTTAAATTCCACATATGACTGAAATCATATGGTATTTTTCTCCAACTGACTTATTTCACTTAGGTAATACACTCCAGGTCCATCCACGTGTTGCAAATGGCAAGATTTCATTCTTTTTGATGGCCAAGTAATATTCCACTGTATATATGTACCACATCTTCTTTATCCATTCATCAGTTGATGGACATTCTGCCTCTTTCAATATTTTGGTTATTGTTGATAATGCTATATACATTGGGGTGCATGTACCCCTTCAAATCTGTATTTTTGTATCTTTTGGATGAATACCTAGTAGTGCAATTGCTGGATCGAAGGGTAATTCTATTTTTAACTTTTTGAGGAAACTCCATACTGTTTTCCACAGTGACTGTACCAGTTGTCTTCCCACCAACAGTGCAAGAAGATTCCCCTTTCTCTGCAACATCGCCAATACCTGTTGTTTCTTGTGTTGTTATTTTAGCCATTCTGACAGGTGTGTCTTATCATGGTTTTGATTTGTATTTCCTGATGATGAGTGATGTTGAGCATCTTTTCATGTGTTTGTTAGCCATCTGGATGTCTTCTTTGGAAAAATGTGTATTCATGTCTTCTGTCCATTTCTTAACTGGATTATTAATTTTTGGGGGTGTTGAGTTTGAGAAGGTCTTGGATACTAACCCTTTATCAGATACAGACAATGAACTTTAAAACAGTTGTTATAAACATTCCCAAAGATTTAAATGAAAACATGAACATAACAAAGAAAAAAGTATAAGGCTTAAAGAAGACCCAGTGAAAAGCTAGAGCTGTAAAATTTGTGTTTTTTAAGGAATTTGTCTATTTCATTTCAATTGTCTATTTTTGCTATAAACTTGTCCAAAATATTTCCTTACTATCTTTTAATATTTATAGGTTGTATAATGTGTCTATTCTTCCATTTTCATACTGGTAATTTGTGTTTTCTCTCTTCATTTTTCTTGATCAGTCTAGTCATAGCTTTATCAATTTTATTGAACTTTTCAAAGAACAAATTTTTTTTTAATTTTCACTATTTCCCTATTTTTTATCTCATTTTCTGTTCTATTTTTTTAAGACTTCATTTATTTGAGAGAGAGAGAGCATGCCAGAGAGAGAGCACGAGCAGGGTGTAGGGGCAGGCAGAGGGAGAAGCTGAGCAGGGAGCCTGATGTGGGACTTGATCCTAGGACCCTGGGATCATGACCTGAGCTGAAGGCAGTCACTTAACTGACTGAGTCACCCAGGTGCTGTCATTTTTTGTTCTTGCCCTTATTTCCTTTCTGCTACTTACTTTTCATTTAATTTGCTTCTTTTCTTAGATGCTTACGGTACAAGTTTAGATCAGTTATTTAGAAGAGTCTTCTTTTTTTTTTTTTTAAGATTTTTATTTATTTATTTGACAGAGAGACACAGCAAGAGAGGGAACACAAGCAGGGGGAAAGGGAGAGGGAGAAGCAGGCTTTCCGCCGAGCAGGGAGCCCGATGAGGGGCTTGATCCCAGGACCCCGGGATCATGACCTGAGCCGAAGGCAGATGTTTAACAACTGAGCCACCCAGTCACCCTGGGAATTTATAATTTTAAATGTCTATATTAGAAAAGAAGACTCTTGGGGCGCCTGGGTAGTAATACTTCTTAAGCCTATGTCATTGGATATTAATATGATTACTACATATTTCTTGTGAATGGTGTGTGCTTGGTAATATTGTTTTTCATTCTTTTACTTTAATCCATCTGTTTATATTAAGGATGGTTTCTTAGAAAGAGCACATGGTTGGGTCTTTATTCTTTCATTTGGTGTAACAATCTCTACCCTTTGAAAGGATGTGTTTAGTTCATTTATATATAATGTAATTATTAATATTTGTTTTCTATCTGTTTCCTCTGTTCTTTGTCTCTTGCTTCCTCTTTTCTGCCTTCTATTGGCTTGAGTGTTTTTTAGTATTACATTTTATCTTCTCTATTGGCTTTTTGGCTATTTTTTATTTTTTAATGTCTTCTCCAAAGTTTACAATAATTATCTTTAGCTTAAAACTAGTGTCAGATAATGCTATACCAGGATACAAAGTTAATATACAGAAATCTGTTGCATTTCTCTACACCAGAAATGAAGTAGCAGAAAGGGAAATTAAGAAAACAATAATATTTACATTTGTACCCCCAAATAATAAAATACCTAGGAATAAACTTAACTAAGGAGTTGAAAGACCTGTACTCTGAAAACTACAAAACAACTTGAAGATGACACAAACAAATGGGAAGATAGTCCATGCTCCTGGATTGGAAGAACCAATATTGTTAAAATGTCTATACTATCCAAAGCTATCTATAGATTAATGCAATCCCCATAAAAATATCAGTGACATTTTTCACAACTAGAACAAATAATACTAAAATTTGTATGGAACCACAAAAGACCCTGATAGCCAAAGCAATCTTGAGAAAGAAGAACAAGGCTGGTGGTATCACAATTCCAGACTTCAAGCTCTATTACAAAGCTGTAATAATCAAAACAGTATGACACAGGCACAAAAATAGATACATAGACCAACAGAACAGAATAGAGAGCCCAGAAAAAAAAAAAAAAAGACGAAAGAGGCAAGAACATACAATGTGGAAAAGACAGCCTCTTCAACAAATGGTGTTGGGAAAAATGGACAGCTACAAGCAAAATAATGAAACTGGACTGTTTTCTTACAGCATATAAAAAATAAGTTCAAAATAGATTAAAGACTTAAATGAAACCTGAAATCTTAAAACTCCTAGAAGAAAACATAGGCAGTAATTTCTTTGACATTGGCTATAGAAACATTTTTCTAGATATGTCTCCTCAGGCAAAGGAAACAAAAGCAAAATTAAATTATTGGGACTACACAAAAATAAAAGGCTTTTGCACAGCAAAGGAAACCATCAACAAAACAAAATAATCCAACACCCCAAAAACCCCAAGTAATCCAATTAAAAATGGGCAGAAGACATGAATAGAAAAATTTCCAAAGAACATACAAATGACCAACAGACACATGAAAAGATGCTCAACATCACTAATCATCAGGTAAATGCAAATCAAAACCACAGTGAGGTAACACTTTA